ACTCTTAACCTCATGCTGTAAATATTTGTAAATAGTGCCATAAACCTTGTTTGTTTTTCGTATCCCCATCTTGTAAGCGGTCGTTTCCTCAACCCGAAGCTACACCACGCTACCACAGCACCCCGGGATCACAACAACTGGTGATCAGCGGTGGGATCACCACAGGATATAAATGACTTGCTGTTAAGCACTCCAGACAATGTACAGTGATCCTGCCGAGGTCTTCTGATTTGGAGCAGTTTTGGAGCAGCTAAATTTTCATTATGGAGCACTTTGGAGCAGCAAAAGTTTATTTTGGAGCACATTGGAGCAGCAAAATTTGCATTTTGGAGCACTTTGGAGCACTTTGGAGCAGCAAATTTTTCCATTTTGGAGCACTTCCGAGCAGAAACATTTTTCATTTTGGAGCAATCTGGAGCAGCTAACTTTACATCCTGGAGGAGAACCAAGTTGCATTTACATTCAAGGGCATGAATAATTATTGTCGGGCTCTTGTCTCTTGTGAAGAGCTCGAAATATTTCCATTCATTTCAAATCTCTTGAACTCAGTCATCTTAGGAGCACTCCCTATTTTAGTTGATGATGCCAAAATAATTGCATCATTATGTTGCGCCAATCTGAGAAAACTTGTTTAGCGATTATTTTTGCAGCAAATAAACAGAGCACTGGTTGAATAAAATTGTACTTCATGAAATAACAATATAAATACACTTAAGTGGTTATCAGTATATATGGTAGACAAATGCTATGACCTACAATGCCAGAAACACACAGATGCAACTGCATTTCTCCTAGATGACTCCAAGAATATAGAAAGATTATTTTTCTTCACAACTGATTATACTACTGGGCTTAACATGACGTCTTTACATGTCTCAGAAAACCAACCTTCTCTGCCGGCGATCCCCTCTCTGTGCAAGAAAAAAGACCCTCACAGGGTACCTTATACATATATGCCTAATACGACTAGGAGGTGAGGGACATTTTGTTTTTATTGCGATAGCAATTACAAGGACATTCTCGACCCGTCTTTGCCATTGCCAGGAACCTAGGTAATTTTAAAATATTTTTTGGGGACGAAGGGGGTGCACCTTGATTTGAAGGGGAGGCATGCAAATGGTAATACTGAGCAATACATATGCCATGGCAAAACTATATTTTGAAAGAGGGCACATTCCCGATATGCGCCTCCCCCCTGGCTGTGCCACTGGCTATCCCCTTCACGTTTTGTGTAATGTTCCAATCGATAACATCCCCCCACGCACTGCGTTTTACAAGAGGGCAAAAGCACAAGAGCAGGGGTGATGGACGCAGTAAAAGCAAAGATTAAAAAGTCACAGTTTCGCTGCAAGGGCGAAGCAATGAATGCGATAACAACTTCGAATGCAGCGCTGAGAACGGCAAGCAGAACGAAACGTGCAGCATGCTGCTCACGCACAAATGACGCACGAAAACAACATACACAGAACGAGAGCTAGTTAACATTTACCACTCGACACTTAACGAGCTGTTTAAAAAAGAAACAACGCACGAAACATAGTCACAAGTACAGATGAGTGCAAACTAATAAGTGCACTAGTTGTTTTACTTTACTATGAATGAAAAGCGCGCTCTTTTCGCAAAGAGGGCCTGTGCAGCCAGCGAAATGACATTTGTGTAGGGCCTGGCAGCTAACGCAATCTTTCCGGTGGAAGCTGAAGGCACACGATTCTCCCCGACGAAGGATAAGCGCGCACGCACAAGCATCTAACACCCCCCCCCCCCCCCTTTCGCGGAAACAACTTTAAAAGGTACCTGGATTTTGACTTTCGGTAGAATGCAAGTAATAACCTGTAAAATACATTCTGCTTTTATATTTATTATAGACAGTGTGTATAAGACAGTACAACAAGCTTTTAAACTTAAAAAGTGAAGCTATGTGAAAGTAAGATGTTCATTTAACCTTGAAACGGGGCTTCGCGGCAGTGCAGATTTCTTCTGGATAGATGTTTTCACGGTTTAGCAGGCCTTCACAGCAGTGAAACGACCTTTAGAAAGGGTTACATGTTGATTAATATACACCTTTCTTGATTTTGAATACTTCAAAATTTTCGATTGACGATTAATTTGTGGGGTTTAATGTCCCAAAACCACCATATGGTATGAGAGACACCGTAGTGATGGGCTCCAGAAATTTCGACCACCTGGTGTTCTTTAACATGCACTGAAATCTGAGCACACAAGCCTACATCATTTCCGCCTTCATCAGAAATGCAGCCGTCGCAGAATCTCAGAATTTTCAATAATTTATATTCAAATCAACACGAATTCAAATACAGTAATATTTGTTTGAATATTCAAAGGATTCAAATATTTGTACAAGCCCTATAATTATTATTGTGATAACCTATCAATGTTCCCGGAATCCTTCCAGCAGAAAAATTCTCATTCATAAAGAGTTTGTCATTTGTCAATACCAATTTTTGTAACTAAACACAGTCATGCAAACTTCTGAAGAGCTATAACCTTGACAAATTACTCTACAACAATGATAATTTATTTCTATGACCATCATTCCGATTTCTCGTGCAAGTAACCTCTGGCATTTTCATCAAAATTCAGGTGATGCATCAAGACAGTCTTTTTTGTCAAAAGCTGTTTTCAATACATAGATTGCACATTACGTCAGTTGCTGTCTTTGGGTTTTGAGTCTGCCATCACCGAGCACCTACGCTGCAAGTGCAGTGTTTATGTGCATGTGGTAGATCGTTTTGCGTTGTGTGTTTGCCTCAATCATTTGCCTTGTGAATATGCGAAGGGGAATTGTTCATGACTTGGTCTTTCGTACTTAGATGAATTTGTGAGATTAGTACAAGCCAGATCAAGTGGATCAAGTTTAGCTACCAGCTGGGACGCAAGCCGATGCAAGCATGGCAACCCAGACCATGAGTGATGCTGTAGTGACGAGCTACACATAATTTATACCACATGAGGCTCTTTAGGCTGCTCTGACATTGGACAGTACACAGGTCTCTATACTCGGGCAAAAGTTTCTGTGGCAATGAAGGGAAGGCTACGTGGGTGGAGCTACTGCTCCTGTACTCCTCTGCGATGTAGTCTGCTTCGGCTCGCGTTTCAAATGACAGTCGCGTTCACGTAATTCCACTGCACACAATGTTATATGCCTGCTTACACAGCCATTTGTGAGAAAAATTCGACGCAAGCTCCTTCCGCGAGTCGCCGGAATAGCTGGAGGGCGACGCGTGCTCACCTAAAGACGAGGACGCCATTTTAGTTGTGAAGTGCACGTAAAACGTGCGACGTTTTCAGATGTGCAAAAATGTGAAACGACTCTTCAGAAAGCAACAATAAATAATGGTATCTCTTTGAAGCGTGCAGCGTCTTTTTAAAACAGCATATAGTACAAAATAGTGTTGTTATTTTTTATTAGTTTCACCTGGAAAACACAGACGCATTCGTGGCACTATATTTTAGAGCTGTGGCACATGCCCACTTTGCCTCCTTAGCCTTCCCTTCATTGCCACAGAAAGTTGTCCCCGAGTATAGCATTTCACCTCCATCAAAAAGCAGCTGTCATGGTCATGATTGATGCAAGCCGATGCAAGTTTGCAGCCAGCGGTCAATTGGCAACACTACAAATGCTTTGTCAGATTAAATGACGGCACAAATCACTTTGCTCACAACTACTATAGGAGAGAACGCGACCCGAACCTAAGTGGCAAGAAGTTGCCGTCTGTGTGCCTGGTCAACTGGTGTAGACTTGTGAACTTGGTTTCTCCGTGTTGACAGCACCCAAGACCGTAGTGGTGTCTATACTAAGTGCAATGACTTTATATGATTCAGTCAAGAAGGCCAGTGCATAGACAGTGGCATTCTTTGCTACAGACATTTCAGAGAGCTCGAGCTGCAGAGGTTTCATTGCTGTAGACTGCTGCCTGCATTTATGGCCGAATAACCAGCTTGGAAGCCAGCTGAAATTTTTTTCTAATGTCTTAAAACAACCCAAGCTATGAGAAACACTGAATTGGAGCACTCAACAAAATTTCTACCACACGGGGTCCTTCAGGCTGCTCTGACATTGGACAGTACTCGGGCCTCTAGCATTTCACCTCCATCGAAGTGCAGCTGCCATGGTCGGGATCGACCCCACGTCTTTTTGGTAAGCACCCAAGCTCTGTACTCTGCGTTTGTTCCATCAAAAAGCTTAGCTTGCTTCTCTGGAAAGCAAGGCATGCTCGTTGTACCCTAACTTGGTGTCATTTCGACAAAAAGTTGCCTCATGCACAAGCGGCACAAGTGCCTAACCTCACGGTGGTGTGCTGAGTGCAAAACCAGATTTGCAAATACAACTTTCTTTTTAGGAAACAACACCCAAAAAGCACGAATGTTGATTAGTATTTTGAGATAATGCAAGCTGATGCCCTCAAGCCAAGTACTCCCTTTCTCTCAGCTCCTTCATGCGATCGCACCGGTTTATTACTAGCTTGATCAAATACAGCAGGCTCTCAGTCACGGAAATCTGTTAAACGAAACTACTGTTTAAATGGAACTATCGCCTCTGCAATGCTTGGTTTCCGGCTTGTATTCGGCATTCATGTTCACCTCTCAGTAAAGGAACTCCTGTTAAATGAAACGTATTTTCCCAGTCCCTTCAGATTCCGTTTACTGAGAGTCTGCTATAGTGCATCTCCAAGTATAGTTTTTTTATTTGACTCACACTTTTCTTACGGCAGCCAAATATCGCATCTATCGCCATTGCGACTTATAGCACCGATGGGAAATGCTGAAGCTGCACTCCTTGATGGTGTGTCATCAGCTGCAGTGTGCTCAGAATTCGCAGCGTCTTTCTCCATCACATCCCAGAGTGTGTGATGAAATGTAGTAGCAAGTTATGTAGGAGATTGTTCCCCCTATATTACATGTTATATGCATGCAATCCACACTGAAGTGAAGTATGCAGCATAAAAAGTGCAACTGCTAAATGTAAAAGCTGAACATACCTGAACACTGAAGAATGCCCGAGCCGGGATGTCATTGAATGTCCCAAATACTGCAGGGGAAAACGTGTAAAAAAACGTGTGAGAAAGGCCAAGTGGGCTATGCTTATAATAAAAACATGCAGCACTGCTATACCTTTATACTCGTAGCCAGACGTTTCTGGCGTCCAACGTCTCCACAAGAACATCTTGCTATTTTCAACTACAGGTTCCCAGCCTTCTTCAGCCAAATGTGCTTTGAATATGTCCGGTTGCAGGCTTGGCTCGCTGCAGTTGCCATTTGTATTGCCACACTTTTGAGAAAGAATCTCAAACTCATCTATGCACCTGAAACATCGGGCCAAAAGTCGATAGCTAGGTTAGTTATTCATAGTATGCAACATAGGAGTTCGAATGGGCCTCCATACAATAGTAACCTCAAAAACCACGGCCTGTGATCCCTTGTTTTTCTCCGACATTGCCACACCAAAAACAACATTCTCCAAAGTGCACGAACGGAAAGTCACTGTTTATATGTCTCCTTTGCCGTCGAGGTGGTTATGCTCTTTCTGCCGTCCGCGATTCTAAAATTCTTGTTAAAAATGATATAATGCGAAACCCAAATGATGGCTCCAACACTCAACAGACAATGGCATCTCCCAGAACCCTCATATTTACCACGTGGACGAGTATAACACAACTACAGCAATCTGAAGCTTTCACCTTGCCAGAAGCTAGTGACAGAACTAAGCTTGCCAAAGGACTTTAGGTATCTGCGCTTACCCTTTCACCTCGTTGTCTGTGATCCGCTCGTGTTCCCACTGGAACAACGCTGCACTTAGAAGGAAGGCAATGGGCTTTTGCGACCTGCTTCGAAGCCTGTCGAGGAACTTGGATACTAGCGTTCTAAGTGACTTCTCTGTGTACAGCCGGCTGTATAAGTTCCATATCTGATTAGCTCGCCGCATGCGGTGAGCAACGTAAAAGTTGCACTGCTTCGCCAAAATTTCGCCAAGCAGCACAAGCCGCTCGTTCACTTCAGCAGCTAAGCGCTTCCAGAACTCGCCGACTACATTGCACTCAAACCTCTCCCCAGCGAAATCGCGAACACAGAGTCTACTTTCTTTGAAAAGCTGACGAGTAGCGATGTTGGCGGCAAGAGACTTCATCGTAACTATATCAGATCGCTTGCGATTGCTGGGCCTCAGTGGCCTTCTCAGCACGGACACTAGTTGATTTAGGATCATCTTATCTAATAAGCGTTGTGTGCGGTAAGTAGGGGCATGCAACTGTACTAAGCAGCGCAATAAATGCAATTCACCGCATCACATGTTCACATGCGTGACTTTCTACAACGGAAAGCGCACTTCGAAACTCTCGACGAAGTGGCTTGGAAGCGGCTTCAAACAGAAACCACGCACTATGGTGGCCATCTAGCCACCATACCACGCACGCCGGTAAATTCTCTAGTATGCCCGCTAGAATGTGCTCTGGTGCGAGCTCTTTGGGTGTGAGAATACACATGCTAGGCCAAGGCGAGCCAAATCAAAACGAAGAATTTCTGCGACTGCAGCGCGAAGTTTTAAATAAGTGCGTTTTGAATTCGGCGTGAACTTATTCAGCTTATGCTGCATATGAAACAACCTTGTGATAATGGAAGATCAGCTTAAAGTGCTATCAAGAAACCGCGAATTAATGTCGCTACTATTGAACTTAGCTGAGTCGGTAAGTTACCAACCACGCATGTGATAAATCCGTAATGCAACGGTCGTGTAAGTGTAATGATTGGAATCGATGAACACAGAACTGTGACTGCAGTCAGATCTCCGTGCTTCGATTTTTTTTCTTTTGCAGGTAAACAATCTAGCAGTAAGTGTAGACAGCACTACGAAACGCTGTAGTGAGGGAGTGGTAGATTCTATCCTTTCGATATTAGACACAGCTGATAAATATGGAGATGAAGACGTAAGTATTCCTCTCCTTTATACTTCTTCATTGCGTGTTAAATGTAGTGTCTGATGTTGTACTCCATAGCGAGAACAAATAAACACGAGCGAGTGCTGCCACCATTTACAGTCACCGCTGTTTTTATTTCAGTTGCAGGCTAGCCTGGAGCCACTGAAACATAAGCTGAAAGTAGGAATCGCGGAACTTAGGACTTGCACCCAGGAAAGGCAACACTTACCTTTTATAAGGCAGTGTGCTGTGCCTCTGGGCCTTGAGGTAATTCTTCGGATATATTGGAGAACTAATTAGGGGGGGGGGGGGGGGCACTTCGTAACAGGTCAGATGTGTGCTCTAAGAAAAGCTAAATGACTGATAGTGCTTTTTTTCCCAGCTTCTTACGTCTTTGGAAGAATATGAGCTTGCGGCTCTGGAAAAAGCTCACGACACAGCCATCGAAAATGTAGAAGCATTGGAGTCATTGTATGGAAGTCAAGATGATGATGTGCTTGCAAGGATCATAGTAAGTTATGTCTTTATTCTGGATGATAAAATCAGGCTAATCTATAAATTCAGACATAACCTAAGTGAAGACCACAAATATGAAAAAAGAAAAAAAAAGAGATCCTTGATTTGGAGGAGGGAAGGAAAAAAATTCTAAAAAAATTTTCATCAAGAAGTACAGAATACTGTGAGTAAAAGGGAAAGTACCATCTATTGGGAACTAATTACCTTTTTCTATGTGGTCGATTAAGGTTGTATTTTTTGGTTGGATATACATATGTATTGTACTTTTATTTGAAGGAAATTATGAGTGATAATTTATGGAAAACCCAGTATTAAGAACTATCAGGCATTAATGCCAGAAAAAGTATAGGTGGTATTATTAGAAGTAACGGTAATGTAAATTTGAAGAAAGAAAAGTGAACAAAAAGATAACTTGCCACCGGCAGCGTTCAAACCTGCGACCTTAAAATAACGCGTCCACTGCTCTGTCACATAGCTGCAGTGGGGTCAAATCCCCACCCACTATTTAGGTTATATATGTCCATTTAAACTTTGGAAAGTCGGTCAGCACCAGCTGGTGCCATTACGGCGAGTGTGGAACACTTTTTTTTTTACCTTTTCTGTTGGAGTGTGTAAGCAATACATGTAACTTAGCATAGTAATGGCATACAGTAATCGTGGAGGTGGAGTGTAGAATATCTACAAGTTATGATGGATGTTCACATAGCTGCTACAGTGAAACAGTAAAGTGCAAGTTACTTTTCTTTTTGTTTCATTCTCTCTCACATGAAGACCTTTGGTCAGCTTTGTGCAAATTGCACTGGCCAAGATTCAATATTTGATGGAGAGTTTGTGTTGCTATATTTCACGTTTGGTTTCAACTTAGCTTTTTTCAACTTGCCCACTGGCCTCACCAGTGTTTGTCTAACCCTTGGCTGTTTTTTTTTTTTTTTTGAGCTATGGCATTTTTTTTTTTTTAATTTCAGGAAGCCTTCAAAAGTGTATTACTATTTTTGAAAAAAGCCCAGAAGAGGGTCTCCTCGCTGCCCCAGCGATGCATCTTTGATGGGTTTGTCGACACTGCAGCAGTACAGAAGTTTTACCTGTACTTTTTGGTGTCTGTTAGCCAGCTTCTCTCGAAGTATCCCAGCAGCCGGCATGTGAAGGTATGATTTAAAAATAGTATACTCTTTCTCTTCGCAGTAATTTCATATATCCTAGTGCACACTCAGGAAATAAAGTACTATATGTGGCGGCACTAGAATCCAGTGCTTCCTTGACAAAAAGTGATAATTTTTGTGTGAATTGGATGTTCAGGCAGTGCTTTTGATTGGAAAAAAAGTACTCAAGAAAAAAAAACTACTATATGTAGTTGCACTATAATCCAGTGCTTTCTTGACAAAAAGTGATAATTTTTATGTGGATTAGGTGTTCAGGCAGTGCTTTTTATCGGCAAGGCTTCTCAGGAGTAGAGGTCATATTATTGTGTGTTGTGATTGTAAATTTCCCCATTCCTTGTTTGGGACTTCTATTACTATTTTTAGTCCATAAACGTTGTTTTGGATGATGCACATATCAATTTTTAAAAGAAGCCAGTGCAGCCTAGTCACTAGGTGATACATAGTCTGATAAAAAGTAGCTTTTATGAAAACTTATTGTGCATTCATTCTTTATTGTTGTGTTCGATATACCTCCATTTATTCAGGCCCATTGTGGACATGTCCAACTAGGTTGAATGAAAATTAGAGAAAGTTTGTTATTTAAAAATCAGAGCTTATGTTTTTGAAAGAGCTTGTTGTTACTGGGTCTTGACACGTTTTGCTAGCGGGTGCTGTACAAGACTGCAAGAATTTTGCAAGACTAGTTATTCATTTAAAGTCCGATCAGGACTATCAGTGGGCTAGTGCAACTAGGAGGCTGGCAAACTATGACGTCGAACTAAAGAGGGGACATGCCTTTGACCATGAACTTTCTTGTTTCTGGTCGGATGATGATGAAAATTGGCACAGACACTAACCCCCGTATTCAAGAACGTCCCTTCACTCGACGCTTCACCTTCACTTGAGAAAGCCGATCGAAGCGCCCTCTATAGTCACGGCAGGTCACTGCATATCAGCGATAATGGGGTGCGATTCTCGAGCAGTGCAGCGTCACTTTCAGCCGAGCAGCGGCGCAGTGCCCAACTCTGTCAAGTGAAGGGCGAAAGTCGAGTCGAGGAGCGTTTGTGAATACGGGGGTAAGAATGGCCTCACCGTGCATCCATAAAAATTTCGAAGTGATAGCACAAGTACCTAATGAGAGACAAATTATTTTTCAATTGAACCTCGTGTAGGGGCTGGAGGATTTATAAAATGACAAAAATAGTTGGTAATTACTGTATGCACAGCCAACTGTATGTTGAAGGGGGCTGCATTCTCAAAATAATTTTTTTGCAATACGAAAACTTGTAGGTAACGTTCTCTCCAGGCACACTGCAATGAGCACACTTGCACTACAAACAAGAAACACTATAAAAATTCTTTAAGGAGTAAAATGAGAAACTAAGATCGCAGCCCCCTGAAGCACAGTTCAAGGAGCATTACAAAATAAACGGAATCAAAATCTGTCCAGTGGTTGCTCAGTTATCTGCTCCACGAGCTGAGCATAATGCCAAAAAAATAATATTGAGAAAGCTGCGTTTAAAGTTACAGCTTCTTTTTACGTTTCTAAAACACCTAAAGATTGTGATCTTAGGTTTGTCTTGTGATATTTGACTTCTCAGGTATCTGGTCTCTGACCAGTGTGCCTCGGTTGCCCTTTTTCCCCCCCCCATAACCTCCTTTTCATGTTTTACAAAGAACAAGTATGGATTTCAAACCAAGTTCTTTGTATGAAGGAGTGGTGTGATAGGCATGACAGAAAAGATTCTAATTGAATAAGACCATATACTGAAATGATTACACACATTTCTTGTGCTGAAGTTGTAATTAGCTTGATTGAGTTCTTGATTAGAAATCATCACTGAACATTTCTTTATTTGGAGAGAGGTTTATTGCATCAGAAAAATGAATTACACCATGACGGCCTATGCCTTCTCAAATAACAAAGTTTTAGGCAGAAGACTGGTGGCACAGGAATTTTTAGCAGTATATTTAATGACGCGAAACGGGCATATAAAAATTTGTGCCCCTGATTCATAACTGCTCTCTTGCCACTCTAGCTGCGAAACGCATCATCGTACAGCGGGTCGCGAACGCTAATCTACGAGGCTTTCATTGCCTCGAAACATTCATGGACGTTCGTGGCGATACCAAGCACGGCTCCAAGCACGTCTAAATCGCATCACAAAAGCTTATTGACAGCACTCCATATGACCGCGGAGTGCGCGGCCGCGTGGACAGTGCAGGCGGCGCGTTATGCACTTGCCGGCGGCGTTCAGTGACGATGCGCGAAATGTGTAATTACGATGACAAAAAATCGACGCGCACTGCGCTTGGCATCACATTTTTAAGTGAAGACGTGTGAAACAGCTAGCCGCTGTTCTGAGCAATCCTTGGCAGTGAGGGGGGGGGGGGGGTGACGAGCTTGGCTGTGCGCTCTGCTGTTAATGCGTGAAATGCCCATACGTGGTTCAGAGGAGCTAGCGAGTGATGTGCTTCATTTCTTGCGAAGAAGCAGGTTGCCAAAAAGTGCGCTAGCGCGTCATTCTTCCCCGCAGTTTCACTGTCAGCGGAGTTAGGGCTAAAGACGACTCCGACGACGCGCCGGGGTCATAGACCGCGGGCCCGCTCGTTGTAATCTGATCAAGCATCTGGTGCGGCCGCTCGTAGTAAACTGATCGTGCCGCCGCTTACAGCTTCGTTGCTTGCGAAGAAGCATGTCGCCACGAGTGCGCGAGCACGTCATTCCTGCCTGCCGTCTCGCTGTCGGCGGAGTTAGGGCTAAAGATGACTCCGATGATGCGCCGCGCTCGTAGACCGCGCCCGCTCGTAGTAACCTGATTGCGCATCCGCTTACGGCTCCTAACGCGTAATTATATCCTAAATGATCATCGAGTTGTGAAAACTTAATGAAGTAGCGATTTTCGAGAGCCATGTTCTCGCAACGCACAAGCAGCAGATGACGATCTCCCGGAGTGAGCATCGGGCCAATGGTGAGGCGAGCTGAGGCAACATGGCGGCCACAACCAATCAAGGGCCTCAAAATGACCGTCAAGCATTTTTGCTGTTTGTGCACTTGTTTTCAAAGAGAGAGGAGCCAGCTGAGTCAGGAAAGACACGGAGAAGTGCTCTTTCTGATGAGCCCAAGAAGCCGGCTGCCGGCCCCGCCATTGCGAAGCTACAATTTTTCGAAAATTGCTGTTTTCTCGCGATTTCCAGAAATAGTTTCGCTACCTAGGTGGGTGAAACGAATTTTCCGAAGCACTTCTGCGCGGTTTTCAATGTAGATATTTTGGAATAAGATAGAAAAAGGGTTCCAGAAACTGAAAAGTTGATTTTCAAAAAGTAGATTTCTTTGCCATTTTTAGCGATCCCAAAGCCGCATCCCCCCTTAAGTGTTTTGTGAGTCAGTGAAGGTTGGTGTTGTCTGCTTTTCAGTGGTTGCCCATGTCTGTGTACTCATTGCTTCTAGTGCTTGTTCTTAATGCTACAAATTCAAGATTTATGAAAGCAGCAGAACAAGGACAACGTTAGGTCCTGTGCCAACCCTCTCATTTGTTTATAGCATTAACATTATTTGCTGGCTTGAGCCACGTGCTGGGCAGTTAGAAATAGACATCTTGTATTTTAGATACTTATTGGGAATTTTGTATCGCTATCACGATAGAACTTGCTAGACATGTATCACTATCTGCATTTTCAATACATGAAATAATGTCATGTATTTTAAAGGGGCCCTGCAACACTTTTTGAGCATGGTCAGAAGGCGCTGCTGATTGGTAGTAGAGGCTCCCGACAACACGTGAGCCAAATATTATAGCGCAGCGCGTGGCCTGGAATTCACAATAAAATTGCTTTCTCTTCCCTCAACAAATGACGGAAGACGCTCAAAAATCACTCGTACAAGGCCATCTATCAACCATTGGCTGATTTGAACATAGCGCGCTCGGTTGTTACAGAGATCGCCACGGGAGGCCGTCACTTGTCCACTTGTGTGTGCATGATTGCACTGAAAAAGCTGCGTATTCGAAGAACAAAAAAGAAAAAAAGTGCTCATGGTCATGAGGCACGCGTGAAATATTTTGTTTGTCCCTCCCATTCCTCCCTGCTTAGCTTCCAGTGCTTTCGTCGGCACGAGAAAAGAGAGAATGCGATTGCAGCGGGCGACAAATCTTTTTAACTCTGCTTGTACTGGACGGATTCCTTAAATTTTTGGGGCGTTGAAGTTGTCAGGCAGCAACCTCTTCCAGTGAGTTAATTTCATGGTTACTCGAAAAAGTGTTTCAGGGCCCCAAAGGTAACGGAAAAAACAACAAGCAAACAGGTGGGATGGAGATAGGTAACACAACACACAAATGCTGTCTCTTTGAGTGCTGTTTTTCTCATAATGTATCGCCAACAAGGTACAAGACACTGTTACTGTAACAGCACCATGCCAAACAAAAGCAGTTGCCTGAAGATTGCTTCTCAGTCTGTACTGCTGCCACTAAGCTACTACCTGAATAAATAGAGATGGTGACATTCCTTTATCTTCTCACCATAATTTTCCAGTCAGTGTCCGTGAAAAAGTCTCTGTGTTCCTTGTCGTTCTCCTTATCTCAAGTCACGGGGTGGCGCTCATGCGATCTTGATAAAAACAAGCTCGTCAACATCTTTGTCCAGCCGTCCTTTTGTTTTCTCAATTCTTTTCAGTTGTGTCAATGTCATGACGCTTGCTCTTACACTTACTCTTAGGCACTAACGTGTGACTTGTATTGACATATGTGGACGGCCTATCCCGTAAATTCTGAGGTCGCTATAGGGCCGTTGTCGAGGTTGCTTGTCGTGGTGCCTCATTGTGAGGTCTTAGAAATGTAAGAATGGAGTTTCTTTAGAACTCTGGTTTTTGAACATCAATAATATGAAGGATCTTGTGGATGTCAATTTGACTTACTGCAGTGAGACTGACTTTTATGCTAATAAGATTCTGACAGTGGTAGTATTACTGCTATGGAAGCTAGATTTGATAGAACAAGGATTTACAAAACATATAATGTGTTGTATTCTATATTATCTTCTAGATACTTTGGTGTTTTGCCATTCGTCAAGCAAGCCTGTGGTTGTCCAAGTTGCGAGACTTTGCCTGCAGTGTTTCTTCCTATGATTTTCTAGATGGTTGGATGGGTGCCTTTGTTGGGAAGGTGGATGAGGTATGTACTGCATTTTCTAGAATGAGAAGAATGTGCCAGGGTTTTAGTAATTATGGCAAGAAGAAAAAAAAGGTCTTGTCATGAAACTGGCTTTAATTTTCATACACATGGGCTGTACTCTCCTTCTTTGCATTTCGTCATTTGTTTCAAACTGGCAAGGCTTATCTCACTATTGCACACACGCATCAGCCTTGCCTATGCTGTGATGACAGTAGTAGTACTTGCTGCTTTTGCTTCTGTGCGTGATTTCATGGCAGCATAATATTGCCTGTGCTGAAGTGTATTTTTTTACCGGCAGTGACTTTACCGGCAAAAAGAAGCATTATTTTCTTGTAAAAAAGTAAAATTACGACTCCTTGAGAGCAGTATTGTTAATCTTGATGCATTACCATGAAAAAGAAAAAAAAAGTCAAAAGTAACAAAACTGGAATTCGAACTCGACCTGCGGTATGACCGCTTCCCCAACTGCGCAACAATCCACTATGCTACCACAACAGCTAGACGATGGCCTCTGCAATGACTACAAATTTACGGCAACGGGCCACCTCATTTTTACCAATACACTACAATGACGGGCCCCTTCACTGTAGTCATTGCTTTACGGTGATGGGGCCCGTCACTATAGCTGCATTGCTATCATGACGGGCCCTCTCACTCTAACAATAGTACTAGGCTTACGGCCTCATCACCATAATCATAATCAAACTACGCTGACGGGCCCCCTCACTTTTACAATAGCAGTGCGTTGACGGGCCCTGTCACCATAGTTGCTGCCTTTTTTTACCGGTGTTAAGTTGGAGATGTGTGGATTGAATGCTTTAAGCATACACTTATTGTAGAATGGTTGTATGCCTGCTTCCCTAACACCTTAGTTTTTTTGTGTGTTGTGGGAAGTTTACCGGTGAAAAATGATTAAATTCATCCTTTCAGGCTCTGTACCACTTGGGTCAGAAGTTGGGGGCTGAATTTTACGCTGCTGTGGATGCTGTGACTAGCCACGGGATGTCAGTATGCCATTTGTGCCCGGAAGCGGATCGTGACAAGCTGATCACTGCATACAAGCAGGTGGTGTACTGGCATCATAGGCATTTTCTTTTCATTATGGGCATTTTTTGGCTGTGTTTATCGAAAGCGGTTAATGTTTGCACACAGTGGTTTCATTCTTTAGAATCTGTTGCTCACAGCTTGTCTAGAAAGACAAAACAACATTAAAGGGGTACTGACACAAAAACTTTGGCTTCGCCTTTTTTTGCTGCAATGTGTTACTGGGGGCCTGTTAGTCATGACAAGACACATCCTTTGCTGCAGCATGCGACACATAATTATTTACAGGCCCCTTATTATAGATCAGTTTCGGTTTGAGAGAGCTCCAAAAACTGGGTGCAACTGTCGCCACCTAGCGTGCGCAGCTTCTGACCACGTCAGCACACAGAACTGGGACACACTTCCGCACGGTTGGCATCAAGAATTACATTCAAATAGGAGACGGGACTGCCATATCACCAAACACAAAAATTTCTAAGCCTGCGCCACAGCCACGCACTCGCAACCAGCCGCCGAGAAATATAGACTGCAGTAACGAATGCGGCAAAAGAAAAATGGCGGCTATGACATCATCATAACATGTTTTGTTGACTGCAGCGTGGTGACGTAAGGGAAGTAGGGCGTCACCTAGAGGTCTCCTTCGATGGTGTCAATGGCACGATGGAGTCGAGGGCTTGCACAAACTTCAAAATTCTTTTAAAGTACCTTCCCAGCTATATTTGCTGTTGATAATGTGCAGATGATATATGAATGTTCGTGGGAATCAACCCTACAGGCTATCTCGGGCACAAAATTTTGTGTCCGTGCCCCTTTAATTCTCTGGGACATTGTGTAATTTAGATGTCAAACATGGTCATCAGCATCCCATGACTGGGCAGCACCAATTTGTTGATAATATATGTGTTTGTGTCCAACTTTAGAAGGCAACGGCATTTCCACCTCGAAGGCAGATGCACACAAGCCTGAAATCCTGAACCACTAGGGCTGCATTCTGGACTGATGTTATAATCTGTGCGGTCAGCATACTGCAGTGCAGGAGAACATTGCCGAGTACATGAGTCGGACTATTTCTTCAATAGCTAAGGCAATTGGCTTTTGGGCTTCGGTCATGTGGGCGATATCTCTCCTGCCTTCATACGCTGTATGACTATAAAAATTGTTGTCTCATCATCTGAAAAAGTAGCTTCTGTCTCTGTGTTACAAGCTGCCACTCAAGCATCCCCTGCACGAAGTCCGTGGCGGGAATGACTTCAGGTTGGTTCGCTTCGTCTGCAAGTAAACGCAGCAAAGAAATCAGAGGCGCGTTTGGACAACAAAACAACAGCTTTAGTCAAGCTGTTGGGGCACAAGCTCTCTAAATATACAGCACTTCAAGTACACTAATAATATACCAATAGAGTCAAACAATAAGCTTGTAAAATACACAAAATGAATTAACACTACACAAACAATGGAGTAAAATTAACAGTAAAGATGTGAATGTTCAATGGTATAAACAGGTGAAGGCATTCGTGAGATGATCGGCAATGTTGCGTCCATGACGATCAGATGCGAGAAGTCCTGAAGAGTTCTGGCACGACTGCGATGTCAGGAGATTCGAGTTGCAATGCTGATCTTTCCAGGAGCTAGTGCTTGAAAGCAGATCTAAGGCAGGTTGAGCCACGGGTATGCTAGACTGCACCTGCGCGCTCGCTTTTTACGGCCTTCGCATAGGGTGTAGTACATACCTCCTGCCGTTGCTTTGAGGGGGGCGCTGCGACTGTGACCCTCCTCCGCCGCTCCATGCAGCGCGCGCAACGCCGGCACATCACTTTGGGCGCACTTCTTCACTCACCACGTGTTGAAAAACAAGTGAAAAACAAGGAAGGATAGTCCTCGAACACAGTAGGCATGGAGTCGGAAAGAAATTTTCTGATGTGGCACGCAGACACATGCGTTTTTCTCAAAACTGTTTTTTTTTTTTGCCATTTACTATTTTAAGTCCAGCCTCCCTCCTGAAGCAGGATCTTAGCGAGGCTTCTTTGCACTTATAATCAAATAAGAAGGATAGTCCTCGAAGAGAGTGGGCATGGAGTCGGGAAGAAACTTTCTGATGAGGCACGCAGGCACATATAGTCTTCATAGCGGAAGTGTCTGCTTTATGCGACAGTTGATGCAAACTTGTCATTGATGATGAGCTTGTCTCTTGCAATACTTTCTTTTGCCATTCAGCACATAGCATTGCTTGGGAATTGATAAAAAGAAATACCGGATGTTTTCCCCCAACGGGACTTGCAATATGAAACACAGCAATACACTATAACACAGCTAATATATATCTATGTACGTTCTGCCAGTGATGGAAGTTCTGCTCCAGTTGCTCTGAAGTGCTGCAAAAGAAAAAAGGCTGCTCTATGCTGCTCCAAACAGTAGTTTTTGTTAGTAATTGCTCCGAATGTGCTACGAAATGACGCTGAGAAAATTAGAATCAAGAAGTTTTACTGTTTGACTGACTCATAAGCCCTAAAGAAACTAAAAGAATCGGTACCATCATCCCAGGATGCTACTAGTGTGTAGCATTATTTGGCTGTTTTTGTCTCAGCTGGACATGCAGGCTTGTGTGGTGAAATGTGAAAATGAGCAGGATTGCTTTCATCTTATACAGATTAATCGACTGCTCATTTGGAAACAGTTATATGAGCCTGTGGTTGCTTCTAAAATGTGACTCTCAGCTTTTCCGGTTTGATTTGGTTTCTGCCACATATAGTAGTATTTTAAAATGTAGCGCATTTCACAGTACATTTTTGGCAACTTGTCATTGCTGCATGAAATTTACATTGATTGTTGTCTGTTGAATATATTTTATAAGAAATATTAGGTATTTGTACGAGATGCTTTGACAATGCTCCAAAATCTAATTTATCTATGGAAGATTTAATATCTGCTCCTAAAGTACCAATAGCTGCTCTAACTAGCATTTATTTCTGCCCCAAAAACACTTGTGGCTGCTCCAAAGATGTACTTTTCTTGCTCCAAAGTATGCTCCAAAAAGTAAAAAGTCACTTTCATCATGGTACTGTGCATACTGAAGGTTGTACGACCGTCTTCTCGAGTCAAGAAATCACTGCTGACTGAACACTGAGAAAGCACCGAACAAAATGCCACTGCGTTTGGCAAATCCCAAAATAAAGCGAGCCACACTAGAGATAGGGGATACTGGCAACAACCTGCTAGTCGCACTAAACCACAGGAGAATAGATTTCTTGGGAAAAAAAGCTGCTTGCTTGCCGAAAAGTTGGAATCTTGTCAATTTCTCTTTCTTACACGTTCTTCCACGAACTCGAAGAATAGCGCAGGACTGATTTGAACTACAGAGTTTGAGTTCCGGGGCAAGTGACTCGTGAGCGGAAGCAGCTGCGTTCCTCGCATTTTTCATGTATGTGGCTTGTAGTATGAAGGAACGCAAAAGAGCCTAGGGTCCCCGGAATAAATGTTTCCAGGAGGTGTTATCACCTTGACTATGCACACTGTCGTTTTTTATGAAAGAGAACATGTGAGCACGTGGTCTGCACTCTGCGGCAGCTGCCTACAGGACCATCATCAATTGACAGCAAAAGACATTGGCTTTTGGCTTTATCTATTGGCAAACAAAAGAAGGAGTTATGGCTGCTGTACAAGCGCTGCAAGATACTGTAGGCAGCCATTGTAGAGAGCAGGTCACACGATCGTGTGTTCCCTTTCATAAAAAACGGCAGTGCACATTTCCACTCTCAGAACATGCCATCAGAAGAGGTTATTCAGCAGCAAGAGTTGTCTTTTCTTTTTTACTTTCTTTCTCCCTATATGCTGCTATTTTTACTCATTAGAGACACAACTCACGTATGAGTTTCAAAGAGCTCTCAAGCTGCTGACCACAGCCTAAACCCTGAAAACCATTCCAAATGTATTCACAAAAATAAATAGAAAAAAGACTGCCAGGGCTGCGCAGAATGCGCAGCACTGTCACAGCGAAAGCTGGAATAGCGACCTTTCAGAGCCTTTTTTTTTTTTGCACTCTTTGGGTTGCTGCTGCAAGCCCACTTGCATGGTACTCACTACGCCATAAATAATCATAACGTTTGTGCAGTAGGCAGGTATTCTTGTTCTTGTTGACCTTCTCTTGTGGCTGATACCCAATGTGAGGGTTTGGCCAGACTTTCACTGTGCCATCCTTCATCGCTCTTTGGAGAAGCCTGGTACCCGCTATACACTTGCAAGGAATTTTGTGCAATTTTTTTTATGCTGTGGCTGATGATGATGAAGAATTATGCTTGAAGCTTTTGTAATGGGTTGGAGCATTTGACGACCCAATCGTTACAGAATTTGCAGTGTGTGTGATGCCTAGTTGTTTCTTAGCTGTTCTAAATCGATGTATTACTCATATTAACACGATTCCTTCGCTACATCAAGCCTGCGTAAGGCTAGTTTGCAACGTAGTTCCTAGTAGTGGCATGGCTCAGTAGTAGAATACTGGGCTGGCACGCAGGGAACCCGGGTTCGAATCCTATTGTGTCCTTAGTGTTTTTTATGCACTAAGTTTTTTTTTTCTTATTTAGCGTGATAGTGATTACACAAACCGGCGGCGTACAACTACGGCGCACGCAACCCTTGTTGTGATCTCATAACAACTTTCACTGTAATAGCTAGCAAAGGGAGGCGTGCTCGTCATTTCTGTAAGCAACCTCTCTTAATTGCAGCCACATTGTCCAACAAGGCCAAAGGTATTTGGTGCTCTCTGCTTGCAGAACAGGCGCAGCGTTGTTTATCTCTCTCTCTGATTGTTGCGAGTGCTTTGTTACTCTGGAATTATGCCTCGTTAGCCGATTCTTGCACAATTTTTTACCGTGTTTTAGCCTGAACTATTTACAAGCACATGCATACATACATTATGCGGCGAGCCGTATGACAACATTAGTCTTTTTCCTTTTTTTTTTAAAAAGACAATCTTTTCTTCACTTCTGACTTTTTGAATAATTTCCTTCTGCGTCGAGAACCCCCATATC